GAAGTTGTGGCACAGATTAATGAATTGACTGAATGGCACCAAGGCACATACAGAGATGACCAAAAAAATCAAAAACCCCAAACAAAACTAGACCTAGAACCCAGGAGTCCTGATTTCCAGTTCTCTGCTCTAATCACTCTCTTATGCAGGGCTAAGAATAGAATGCTGGATTTCAGCTGCTACTGCACTCACACCTAGACCACACTTCCCTTCTATAGATGTGAAGAAAAGAACCCAGAAGCCTTGTACTCTAATCACTACCCTCAAAGCTAGAACCCAAGAGTCCTGATGTCTTTCCTCACCTTCTTTCGGTGCTTGATCACACTCTCACCTGAAGCTAGGAATAGAAGCGGGGAGTCTGGATTCCCCGTCCCTTGCTCTAGCTGCAAGAGAACATGCCCTCCCAAAGCTAGGAACAGAATTTAGGATGCCCATTATTCCCCTGCAAGTTACAAGTCACTCCAAGCAGATCTATGCTAGTGCTGTCCAGCTGACCTACAGCATCTGCACTGTTCTTCTGTAATATGAAATAAATCATGACTCCAGAAAAAACTGGCAGCTGCTAAAACTTTCCATCCATCCCCAGTGGGGCTCCTGTTCTTTAATGCCAGGCTTACTGGACCAAAGCATTCGTGCCCCAGTTGTTCACTGGTGCATCAAATTCAGCTTTCAGCTGAAATGTGTTTACTGCATACCAGTGAAAAGGAGGCAATGTGGCCTGGTGGTTGGGGCTGGGGACTGGTGATCAGTGATCAGAACTACTGGGTTCTAGGCCTACCTCAGGGAGGGGAATTCAAGATCTTGCAGCAGTTTAGGTGTCAACACAGTATATGTTAAGGTTCTTAGATTCTAGACTCACTTGTGGAGGACAGGCCAGAGTAGAAGATGAGGATACTTAGGTCCCAGTTTTCCCCCAGCAGTACATGAAGAGCAACCACTAAAATCAGAAAATAAAAATTACAAACAACAATTTTATTATCTAATGCTTCCGTGCTTCTGCTGCTCTCAGTAGCTGCTGCATCCCAGCTGGCTTTGTGGGGTGCAGTGGCCCAAGAAGGCAGACGCAGAGTCTGCCTGAAGGCATCTGGGAGCTGTCAGGAGTCTAAACCCAGCAGAGGGCAGTGTTGGGCAGGACAAGTATGGTTCTGAAGTTGGGGGATGTACCCATCCCTGCCATGACTTTTTGTCTGGCTCTCCAGTGGCATTTTCCATGGGGAATCTCCTTCACTGTGGGTGAGGGGGAATAATCCACAGCACAAAGGTCTAAGAGGGAGAGATCAGAGCTGAGCACTCTGGAGGGATTTGCTTGGTGTTTAAACACAATCACAACCATAGAAAAGAGGGAAAAGGCTTGCTTTCTACTACTATGCATATTACAGCAGTGCCCATGGCCTCCCAGCTTAGATTAGAGCTCCTTTTTACTGGGTGCTGTACACAGAGAGAGAGAGAGACAGTCCCTGCCCTGAAGAGCTTATTGTCAGGGAAACAATGGGAGAGGAAACTGAGGCATGGAGAGAGGAAGTGACTTGGCCAAGGCCACAGACAGCACCAAAAACAGGACCTAGGTCTCCTGGGTCCTAGTCCAGTGCTTTATGTACTAGACCAAGTTAGCCTAGAGACTAGATAGCAGCCAGAATAGGGTTATCTATACAATCCACTCCCCATGGCGCTTTCATCCCTTCCCTGAGGGAAACAGTCCTCGCTGATGGGAAATATTTCCGGTCTGTCCGTTCATACTAAATATTCCATCTAGTTATACCACCACTCAAAATTCCTCCCCCTCCATTGTGTTCAGGAGAGTCCCAGACTCATGGGCTCTATTCCCAGCTCTGGGAGGAGTGTAGGATCTAGTGGTTAGAGCGAGGGCAGGAATCAGAACTCCTGGGTTCTACTGGTAACTCTGCATGAATTAGTGGTTAGAGCATGGGGGGGACTCAAGATGGCAGAAACCTTGCATGATAATCTCATGAGATCTCTTTCGTCCATTTCATCCAGCTGGTACCCAAGGACACAGCTCCACTGTCCCCATAGACTCTCCCATCTTGAGTCAGGACTTGTAGGGTCTGTTCTCAGCTCCAGGAGTGGCGTGGGATCCAATGGTTAAAGCAGTGGAGTTGAGAATCAGAACTCCTGGAGGGACTGTGGTCTAGTAATTAGAGAAGCAGGGACTGGGACTCCTGACTCCTGATGTCTATTCCAAGGTCTTGCACAAACTTTTTGTGGGATTTTAGATAAATTGTTTCCTCTCTCAGTGCCTCAGAGTCAGTGAATGATTCTTCACGACTTGACTGTGAAGTTAATTTAATTAATGTTTGTAAAGCCCTTTGAGATCTTTGGATGGAAAGTGCTAGGGAAAGGAAAATGATTATCTTCAATACACAGCTCAGTCCTGAGCTAATTCAACTTCCCAATGCCCCTGTGAACTAGGTCAGTATTACCCCCATTTTAAAGAGACAAAGACATAGAGCAGAGAAGTGACTTGCTCCCAAGTAATTGTCCTCTGCTTGGATCTTGTAAGGTAGACAACCAATACACCAGGTTATAGCTGGGGTCCTAGTACTCAGCACCACTCCGAGGCATTACTGTCCGTGCTGACCCCATGGGGAGAGCACCCCCTACTCAGTCACCTCACAACGCTCCCAGCAGTACAGTGTCCCTCATTTCTTGTTAAGGCGTTTGGGCAATGCTGACTCAGAAGAAAGAGTGCCCCCAACACAGCTCCTTTCAGGGCCCTGGGTTTTCCTTGCAGTTTTCAATGCAAGAGTTAACCTGATTTGAGTTTGTTCAGTTTTTGAGACCCCAGACTAAGGTGGCATGGAGGCAGGCTGTCTGGCTTGTCAGGAAGTCACAGGGCCACCAATCCCCAGGGCAGCTGGTAAGATCCCAAGACCGCTTCATTGTCTAGTCCTGCTCCAGCCTTTTATCCCAGGAGACCTGACCAGGAAATAAGAGGGCGAGACAGAACTTCAAGTGGGGGCAGAGTGAGGGGGATAACAGCCTGGAAAGGGTATAATTATTATTTACTCTCTCTTGCTGGCACTGGAGACCCAGGAGGTGGGTCATTAGGTAGCAAATAATTAAAGACTCATGGAATAATGTGCAGGTTTCCAGATCCACGGGAGGCTCTCGGGGGGGGGAGGGGGGGATTGTAACATGAGAGGATTCAGTTGGGACCCTGCCCATCCCATACTCACCAAAGCAGCCTCCTTCATTATAGCTTCTAGGTACCCCTTCCTGCAAGGGCCTTGGCACCCCTCCTTTCTCCCCCAGGACACATTCACCACACTCACATGCTTTTCTCCAGACCTGGGAAAGGCAACGGGCCTCACTGTCCATTGCGCCCGTGCAAAGTGGGTTTAGAATGGTAGCAGTTTTCTCTGACTCTGCCTGGGGGTAATGACTGCACAAGGGGCAGGGCAATGGAGGATCAGGCCCCTTGCCTGTGTCCTGTCTGGTTCTAGCAAAGCCTGACCCATCTATAGGCAGGGAGCAGTAGGCATCTGTCCAGCACCAAGTGCAGACAGTTTCCCATCCTCACTGGGGCGTCTATGTGCTACCATAACATACATGATAAATCATCTTCTATCCAGATTTAACAGAAACATAATGATAGACATTAGCGATGGAAAACCACCCTCCGCCCCAGTTCCTCTATTCGGCCGGTAGAAGATTATTTACTATTGTACATTTACTAGCATTCTTGCCCAGTCTAGTTCTGATGTCGCAAGGGAAGGAGCAGGTATGGCAGGGCAGGGCACAAGGTCTGCTCTGTGGTTCGGAAGCACAGTGGTGAAAACACCACACCTCCCTTTTCACTACCGCTGGGACCAGATGAACTAGGGAGTGAATTGGGGTGGGGGCTTGATTTTTACTGGAGTAGCTCCATCGGTGCAGGGCCAGACTCTGATCTCAGTTACTGCGGTGTAAATCCAGAGGGATCCCGTTGACTTTGGTGGAGTTATTCCAAATGCACACTGTCATTGTCAGTGAAACAGAAGCTGGCCCTTGCTACTGCACCAGACTTCAGCACAGCAGGGTGAGCCAAGGGAGGGGTGGCAAGCTCCAGATGGGAATTTCCTGATTGTCATCTGCTTGTCATAGAATCAAGCAGAACAGTCCATCTCCTGACCAGGGCAGGCTTGTTATTCCCTGGGGCTTTGCCCAGCCAGTGTTAAGCATCCCAAGGGACGGTGGTACCACCCCTTCCTTCAGGAGCTAGCTCCACTAGCCAACTGATTGTTCAATCACTTCTCTTTCTTCTCGTCCAATTCATCCACAATTTCTCCTTGCTCATTTCACCCCACTTCACTTAATTCAACCCCCTGGTTCCACCCTAAACAACCCCTCTCCTTCTTAAGGCCAGATCCTGAGCTGGTGTAAGTTGCTCCATTTACACCAGCAGAGGAGCTAGCCCAGACAGACCAGTTTGGTCCCACCCTGACAAGGGAGCCATGCGGTATCATTCGCTACGGGACATTTTCTAGCCTTTTGTCCAGTTTTGAATTAAAACATCCTGCAGGCATGGAGGCTCGGCCAGACTACTGCACAGCTAGGCCTGTCATACTCCACCACCCTGACTTGGACAAGCCTTGTTCCCTTTGCAAAGAGCCGTGGCCCGAATGCAGGGGTCCAGGGGGCGGTGAGGAGAGGATCCTTGGCAAGGATGGAATGAAATCACAGGCCAGGGGCAGGAAAGAGGAGGGGGGACAAATCACTCCGCCTTTAGTATCCTCAATGGCTGCTTATTGCGCCGTGCAGCCCGGCAGGCTGAGGGTTAAAGTCTGCTACTTGGCAGCTTGTCTGCAACCCCCCCATGTCCAAGAAGTGAATGTTCTAAAAAAAATATCAGTCTTTAGGGCCCGTGGCCAATGAGAAAAGCCCTCGGTTTTCCAAGCGGCCAATCCTGTGACACCATCTGCCCTGATATGACCCCCCCTCCGCCCCCCCCTTCCTGGCTGCCCACCGATGGGATGTATGTATATATTTATCTATCCATCCACATATGTATTGATCTCTATCTGGATTTGACTGGGGCTTAGGGGAGGGGAGGCGAGAGCGAGCGAGAGAAGGAGCGCGCGGGTCGGGATGCCCCCAAATAACCTCCCTGAAACTGTAACAGACGAGAAGAGACAACTTCATCTTCTGCCCTCCCCCGCCCAGTGCCTTTACAGGACGGAGCGCAAGAAGGAGACCTCCTTAGAAAGCACTCGGTTTATTTGTCCTTCTTCCTTCTGTGTTACACATCTGGCTGGCTAGCACACACTCACACTCACACTCACACTCACACTCACACTCCGTTACAACAGCAGCACCCTCGACGCCAGGTGTGAGTATCTTGCCGGGGGTGGGGGGGTCTTGCCTGCGGCGCTGGAAGGGCAGCTAAGGTTTGCGCCGCTTTGCTCCTTCAGCTCCACCAAACGCGGCTCTCCGGGACTCGAGCTCGGGGAAGGCTCGAAGACTATTCAAGGGTGGGGTTATTTTACCCCCCCCCCCACTTTTTGTCCCCCAAAACCTTCCCCCCGCTTCCTGATTCCCGCCGCCGCCGCGTTAGAAACGTGGACCCCCCCCCCCTTGCTCCAATTAACTGAGAAATGCGACAACACCCATGAAAAGCGATGGGCCAACTGGGGAAACGAGAGGAGAGAGCCGGGCATAACCTCTAGCGCCTTGAGAGCTGGAAATGCACAAAAGAGAGAGCCGTTCCGGCCCAGATCCCCACAGAGACCCACACACCCGGCAGGGGAAACCACCCGGGCCGCTCGGCTTTCTTAACTCGACTTACTTATTTTTGCAGCTACCGAAATTGCAGCCCGCCCGCCGGCGAGAGCCAGGCTCCGAAGCCAGACGCTGTAAGTAGCGGGGTTGTTTTACTTTACAAATCTTTGTGTGTCTGTCCCACCGGGCAGGGGGGACGCGGCTTCGCACGGCCAGGTCCCCAAAGCCTCCGCGCTCCAACGCCGCCCGCCCCGCACGCACCCCGCGGCCCCCCTCAGTCCCTGGGCGGAGACCTGCCTCTTGCTCGCTGCTGCCCGGGGCTCGGGCGGCGGGGGCGTTGTGACCCGGTCCCCCGGCGGCCCGCCTCTGGTGGGGGCAGCCCTTGCCTCCTGATCCGTCCCGACGCTTCCCCGAGAGCCGAGACAGCCTCCCCGCCAGCTCGGGAAGGTCAAGGGCGACGCTCGCCGCTTTGCCGGCGTCCTCGGGCTTCCCTCCCCATCGGTCTGGCCAGCCCCCCTAGTCTGGCTCCGGCCGGAGCCGGTCTGCGGTGCCTGGAAGGTGCAGGAGGTAGGGATGTCACAGCACACGCACCCTCGCCTGCTGGGGGGAGAGCGAGCGAGCTTTTCTTTTATCTCCTGCTAATCTACTGCAGGACGTCTCTCTCTCACGCCCTGCATGTGGGAACTGGTGTTTCTAATGGATGGTAAAGTTTGTGGAAGCCCTTTAGGAATGAAAGGGGTGAGAGAGGTCTGGCTTTTTAAATTTACTGATCAGATGGGATAGGGGATACAAAAGGACAAATCCTTACAGGGTGTAAATTGCCAGCGCTCCATGGCCTATGCTGGTTTATACCAACTGAGGATCTGGGCCTGTCTTTATAGGGAAGATCAAGGGGAAATTTACTAATCTTTGGTCCAGCCTGGTACATTGAAGAAGTCAAAGGGGAAAAACATGGTTCTTCAGAAGTCTGTTTATGAGCCAGTGATAAAAAAAACATCCCTGAGCAGAGATGGTTTAGTGCTAGCCACCTCCAGGGGTGGGGGAGGAAAAGGGGAATAAACTCCAGCGGGGGAAATCCTCTCCCATCAGTTCCACAGCTGAAAGCTCAGACCCTCAGTCACCTGGAGGGTTCTTTTGCACATCTGAGTTACAGAGGCTTCACATACAGTGAGAATCAGATATAAAGGGTGGAAGGTCAGTGAACTGGGGAGGATTTCAAGGCGTAATTTATTGTTGTCATAGGTAGATACAGGAGTAAGGTTGTAATACACCAGGAGAACCTACTATACTTATGGGGATTGCATATGCAACCTAGACAGATAGACAGGGCCCGGTTCCGACCTCAGTCATGCCAGTGTAAATCAGAAGTAACTCTAGTAACCAATGCAAAACTGGTGTAAGATCAGAACCAGTCCCATAATCTATCGTGTAATCAGTATCTATTATGACCATTACTAATAATATTATCTGTACTGTGGAATCTCAGCCAGGGACCAGAAACCCAGTACGATAGGCACTGTACAAACACAGAACAAAAATGCAAAAAGCTCTGTCCCTGAGAAGTTTACAATCACAGATAGATCGTAGAGATAGTAATCTATATCATTTCATCTATAGCTATGGCCAAATTTTGGGTCTGGTCCTCAGCTCTTTCTTATACCAGGGTAAATCAGGAGTAACAGCAATGAAGTCAGTCTGTAGTTACACCAGCATAAAATGCCACGAGGGACGCATCGGGCCCTCTGATCTTAGTGGCACCAGTATAAAACAGGAGTAACTCCACTGACTTTGCACTGGTATAAGTGAGATCAGAATCTGGCCCCTAGTCTGTCGAACAGTTCGGGATCCTGCAGCATGGAAGGCCCTGGATGAGCATAAAATTACAGAGCCTCATTTATGCATGGAGTAAGGGATAGGTCTCGCCTGTGCTTATTGTTCTACCTCCGTTTCAATACCTATCCCTGCTGATGTAGCTTCCGCTGCAGGGTGCTATTTGCCCATACAGACTGGGGGTCAGATGTGCCGGGGTTCTGCTAGCTAGCTCTTATGTTTTGCTTGGCTTTGTAAGGTGACATGCTTGAGAGAGGCTTCACTGCCAGGCAGCTGTGAAGAAGAGGGAGGCAGAAGGGAGGGGCAGGAGAGGCTGGTCCTGGAGAAAGGGCGGCCCTGAATCTGCAAATGATGTGGGCATCTAAGGCTACGTCTACACTAGAAACTACAGCAGTGCTTTGAAATGTGAGTGTGGTCACACACGAGCGCTGGGAGACAGCTCTCCTAGCGCTCCTGGTAACCCACCTCCATGAGCGCGAGCTGGGAGCCCGGCTCCCAGCGCTCGGAGCCTGTCCACACTAGTGCTTTAAAGCGCTCAGACTGGCTGTGTTCAGGGGGGTGATTTTTCACACCCCTGAGCCAGCAAGGTAGAGCGCTATAAAATGTAAGTGTAAAATGTAATGGTGTTAATGAACGGGAAACAATGAGCACATTTAGAGCGGTAAAGGAGAAGATCTGGAAGATCTGGAAGAGGAGGGACAGAGAGTCTGGAGTCTGGAGTCTGCCTGTTCTTAATAGATGCCAGCCCCTCCATTCCCTTCTCTGGAATCCTTAAAGGCAGGAAGGTCCCATTCCAGATCAATACCGTCTGCCCGTTTCAGTCTGGAGGTCAGGGGTCAAGTTCATTTCTCCGCAAAGGTGGAATATTGCCTCCCCAATAGACATGTCCTAGCCCTCCCCCGGCGCGTCTCAATGAGCTTCACCAACATTAAACTACTAAGGCTCACCCCACAGCGCACATGATGTGGGAATCATTATTCCTCATTTCCCATAAAGGTAAACAGAATCAATTTACCTAAGGGTGCGCAGCAAGTCAGTGAGCAAGGCAAGAACAGACTGCTGTTCTCTGGGCTCCCTGACCAATAGATCACACTGCCCTCCCAGAACTGGGAATAGAACCCAGTTGTCCTGACTTCCAGCTCCAGCTGCTCTAACCACTAGACTCCATTCCTCTCCAAGAGCTGGGAATATACCCAAGTCCTAATTCTCAGGCCTAGGATTGACCTTAATTCCATGCTCTCACTAGGTCAAAATGCAGGGCTGTGAAACTAAAAGAGGGATGACCCTTACCATCATTAGAGACCCATAGGACCAAATATTCAGATAGCCTCCTGTTTTTATTCCCTGCCTGTTGGATTTCCAAGCATGTCTGTATCCAAACTGGTTAGCTGCAGGTACAGTTAGATAGCTGAGCATGCCCCTGTGAGATTAGCATATGCAAAGGACTGCAGTGGCAAATATATTGCAGGCACCATTAAGAAGGCCCTTTGGGAATGTGGCCCTTAAAACTCAACTAGACAAAGCACTGAGGAACAGAGTGTGCAACAGGACATGCTCTATTCAGCTGTGTTAATCTCATTATCTTGATTTATATCCCTCCCTTCTGAGTCGCTCCCAGCTAGAGAGGTTTCCTTTGTATGCCTGTGGGGAACAATCCTCCAACAGACAGGGAGATGGGCCCTAACCGTTCTTTTTTCTGTGGGAGGCAGTATGGCCTAGGGATGAGATCTGGGTTCTATTCCACCGCATGACCTTGGGCAAGCCACTTCACCCCCTGCCCATTGTCCCCAGCTACAAAATGGAGATAACAATTCTGTCCTCCTTTCATGAGCTTTGAGATCTAGGAATGAAAAAGTACTCTGTAAAGAGCGATGTATTGTTAGTGTCCATCTTGAACTCCTACGATTCTGTCACACCCTCCCAAGAAACACAGGGCCAAGTTCAGCCCTGGTCTAAGCAGGTGCAACTGCACAGACTCCAGCAGAGTCACAGCGGTCATTAACACCCCACTGGGATTTAGCCAGTCATTTCTACAGGCTCCCTCGCTTGGGCTGCTACCCGCTACTGGTGTGTTGCTCCCCTAGTCAAAGGCACCATTTCACGGTGAGAGAAGCAGTTTGGCTTAGTGGATACAATACCGGACTGTGACTCAGTAGACCAGGATTCTCTTTCCTGCTCTGCCAATGGCCTGCTGGGTGACACTGGGCAAGTCACTTCACCTCTCTGTGCCTCAGTTCCCCCATCTGTAAAATGGGGATAATGATACTGACCTTTGCCCTGCACTATGTGTATCGATTTACACCAGTGAAAAATGGGTGTCAAAACACCCCTGTTCTGATCTGGACCTGCCCTGATATAAATGACTGCACGAGCTGAAGGGCAAATGGAGACTCAGTCCCAATGCAACTAGGGTTACTGCCTTTATCCTTTATTTAAACACAACTTTCTTTCAAGGAGATGACACACTGATGGCGCTTCTCCCCATCAATTACAGCATCGCAGCTCCCAACACTGTAATTACGGTGGTGTCAGCTTGTCGCCAGACCTTGCTTTAAGGGGAGCAGAAAGTTGGCATGCAAAGTCCTTTCTCCTGGTGTTGGGCTTGTTCATACAGATGAAAGGGGGGATGGGGAGAAAATCTTCCTGGATGTTTATGAAATTGTTTGAGTCAAGCAGGTCTGCCTGCCTCTGGGCTATAAGGTCTTGTATCCTCTCACTGGTTTGGTTCCAGCCTAAGTTGGGAGTGACAGAAATCTGAAGGCTGGTTGGCAGCTGGTGTGATGTAGAGTTGGTGACTCTCAGTTCTGCTCGGTGTAGAAAGGTTACAACCCACCATGCAATTGTCCCTAAGAGGCCCCCATGTTGGCTGAATTACCCTCTCCCCCAGTAGTGTACCCAGTAGTCTATTCCCTAGGAAGCCTTGTGTGCTGATACCAGGCAGTACAGGCTGGGAGCCAGAGAGAACCACAGGGTCTGTCTGTATCCAACAGTCTGAATAAAGAATCTCTTTTATACTCATCACAGCTGACTCCAGTTCTTCTTTAACAGGAGGGACATTAGTCCACTGAGAGGTGGGCCCCAGATCAGGCTTGAGGCACCCTCACGTAGCAGCATCTGATGGATGCTGCCCATGCTGTCCCTAAACCTGCAGGGCGGTAAATTGGGCACCTATCAGCAGCACAAAATTCACATAATTAAAAAATAACAAGACTGAGTGTCCCAAAAAACCCAAGAACTTTGCCATCAATGACAGATTTGTTTTGCTAATCGATTCAGAGATTCCAAAGCCAGAAGGGTCCACTGG